CACATGCAAACAATCACAGATACCCATTTGGAAGAAACAGTCCACAAAGGGAATAGATGTTGGCCAGAGTAAATCTGTACAAACTTTTTCCTTGGGGTATTCATTCCAAAAAGAAATTCTCTGCTAAATCCAACCAACTACAGAAAACATCTATCCAAAATCTATTGTTCAGATTGATGCATTTAAATGTCAAAGGAAAAGTTTGTTTTGAAATTTTACAGATAGAAGTTAACATCTGTTATTGAAATCTCTATTAACAGAAACAATCATAGTTTGGAAACTAGTGGCTTGATTCAAAACTGTATTTAAGATCATAGGAGAATTTAATCCCGAACTTCTCTAGGATAACTACAATCAATTCTCGTTAGAAAATAACAAAACCAACAGCTCACTGACATTATTATAAGCAGTATTACAGCTAGTACTGAATGGTAAATTTTTTCCCCTTGCTTGCTTCTGGTGTGAAGGAGAAATTTTTATTTTGACCCATTGTTTCATTTCGGTTCTCATACATTCTGATGCAGGGAAGCCATATTTAACATTGTCACTGATTTTACAAGTCCCCTCCCCATATAATCTCACTTGAGCCTAACTGTACCCTGTGAGGTAGAGAGAACAGGGGGCCTTGGTATTTTGCGGACAAGTAAACTTTTTCGAGGGCTGGCACAGTGGGCCAGAGAGCTGGAACTAGGATTTTGGCAGACTGCAGGCCCAGTGGTCTCCCTTGCACCCACTCTGGGCTGAATATCCCTGGGACAACTCTGTCCTCAACTGAGGTGAAAGATCCCTAAAGGGTTAGGGGTGAGTCTCAGCTTCCAGAATTATGCTTTACCATAATTGGCAGCAACTCTGTAAGAGATGTTCCCATTATTCACACACACAGCAATTTGGTTCCCTTCACACTTAACTCGGTAGCTACAAGAATTTCAGAAATTTTCCCTAACTCAATCCTTTCATCTGAACCAACGTTGGAACCCTCTCTTTCTCTCTGTACATTCAAATATTTATAAGAAAGGATCCCTAGTTTGTTTCCAAGCTAGCCTACTAGGTTTAGATGTAACAAAATTAGAGAACCTTTTCTGTTATGTCACAGGACACTGGTAGTGATTAAATCTGCTAAGAATTGCACCAAGGTGAGCATCCTGGGCTGGTCTCCTTCCCCGAGTTAATGTCCTGTCTATTTTGTTTAGACTGTGAGTCTGCTTAGGAAAGACTGTGTCGAATTCTATGTTTGAAATGCCCCTAGCACACTGTTGGAACTTAAATGTAATTATTCAAAATGGAATCATTTAATTAGATAGGAAGAAAAATAGCAAGCCCTGAGACGATAATAAAGAATAAAGCAAATATGCTGACCGACTGAAGCAAAGCAACAGAAAACAACATGCACTCACAAGATAGCCACATTGTGATTCTTCAGTTCAGGATGCACAGAACAGGGCAGACCCTGAGATATGCCTTGCTTTCGCTGGTTTCGCAGAAAGCAGGGAGCATGACTGATATTGATGACTCTGTGGAGTGACAGAATTTTATGTCTCATGCCTCATATGACTTAGCTCTTGGGGAAGCCTGAGGAGGAGGAGGGAGGAGGAAGGAGATGAACGCAGGAAGCGATAGGGTCCACAACCCCCAAGTGCTTGAGCCGGGAATTAGGAACGCGTCACATCTTCTATTCACCTGGATGGGACAGGGCATTGCACGCTACCGAGATCTACTTGGTGGGCAGCTGGGGATCAGCACAGGGGAAAGCCATTTGCTCCCTGTCCATTAGAAGCATGACACTGTGCGTACCAGGCATGGGAACATTTCAGAGTATGACACAGAATGGAATAGTCCTTGGAAACTGACTTCCCATAACCCCTCTTTGGGTTATAAGACAGCCAACACGTCAGGGTGCACTTTCGACCATGAAAGGGTTCACTCTTACCCCTTTTCTGGGGAAATCCTAGAGCCTCTTAGTGAATGTTAGTCCTTACTTATCTCCCATTCCCCCAACTCCTGCTGAGCCTCCAGTCACTGAGGGAAAAAATATGGAAAAAAAAAAGAGATTTGTTCAAAAAACACAATAGAAGGCTTTTGTTATGGAGCCCTGTACCATGCACCGTGTAGGTGCCCAAGGAGTAAGATTTTGTATTGAAATGCTGGATAATCCAGTGAAAGTTCTTCTTAAATGATTTCCTATCTTAATTAGTAAAGGTCTAATGTCAGACATTGCAATCACTTGGTTACAAAATTATACAAGTTTTATAATGAAGTTTGCGCATCGATTGTAAGGCCCGAACAGTTTAATAATAAATAATCTTTTAAACTGGGAAAAACCCTACATAATTGAAAACTATTTGAGACAGAGGCAGCCGGCTTTAACATCCTCTGTAAGCCTTCCCTAGCTGGTCCTTGGACTTGACTTTTGAGGAGGTGGAGAGGATAGGAAACGGTCACTTGAGAAGGTTCCCTTTGGCCAAGTGTCCTCCCTTGACTCTCTGCTGCCTTGACGGACTTCCTCTTTTCAGCCAGACTGGAAGATCACGGGCAGGTATCTTCCTGCATTAAAAGTTTCTTCTCCCTGTGGATCATTGGCTGCTTTGGATTTGACGCAGCCACCGTGGTGTACTTTAACTACCGAGGCAAATTCTGCTGTCTGATTGTCTGTCCTTGAACGATTCTTTACATGTGAATGGCAGTAAGCTTTTATTGAGTGCCTATTATATGGAAAGAATAGAATTAAGTATTTGGTTTGAATTCGGCGTAGTACTGGGAAGCAGAATGGTGCTGAATTCAAGGGAGGTAGGTGGGTACCTTATTACTCCTGGACCTTGGGATAATTAACTAACTGACCCCCTGTCCCCACTTCCTAACCAGGAAAATAGGAAGAAACAACAGAACTTACCTTTTAGGGTTGCTAGAAGACTGAATGAAAAGCGCACAGCATGAAAGTAGTAACCAGTTAATGCTAGCCATTGCTATTTCTAGTCTTATTTAAACTGTTATCATCATTTTGACATGCTAGTTAAAGAACACAGGGTTTCCTCAATGGACTCCCCTGGGGCCTGGGGGAGGGCTCTCTACGGGAATCTGCTTATTTGTTGGAATGCCCTCCTTCTCTGAAGCAGCCCGTCCTAATTGGCACGCATCGCTGTCCTTCACTTTCTCCTTTGACAGTACCTGTGTGACCCTTCCTTCAAACCAGAGGCAAATTGCTGCTTGAGCTACCACCTGGTACCTCCTTTTATTCTAGCAGGACTGATATGTTTTCTTTTACAACGTCGGGGACAATAAATATTAAAGCAGACAAGTGCTGTTCTGTGTTTACCTCTCTGAGCGCCAACGATGGAGAGAGAAACCTAGGGAAAACTTCCAAGGTCCCAACATCCAGAAAAGCACTTCTGGGGCATTTTCATATTCACACGTTTTCTGGCGTGCTCAGCCTCCGGCCGCTTTTCCAACATTGCACACCTACGCTGTGCCCTGGTGTGACTAAGGCTACTTTCTGCACTTAACAGTTCCTGTCCTCTTGAGGACTCAAAGCACTCAAGTTAACATAATCATACAACTTTAAAGAAATAGGGCGTAAAGGTTAAAAAAAAAGGCAAAAGCTGGATTGTGGTTAGACTTGGCCACTGGGAAGCTTCCACTTGATCTATCCGAGGTGATGACTAGAATGCTTCCAAGATGGGAAGCCCCCGCTGTTGCCCAGGTAGCGTGTGGGACGGAAGCGACGGGACGCACCGGAGTGAAGCTAGATCTCCGGCCCCCAGCTGCCTGACGGCCTGCGCCTTCCTTGAAGGAGCCATGACGCTGAACGCAGCAAAGGAAGGGCGGGGACATCTGGAGGTGAACTGCCACTTTGTCACTCACGGTCTCGCTCCATTCAGTTACCAACAATCCAATCCAATCCACTTGTTGGTAGTATTTTACTAACAAACTAGGCCATTTGGCAATTGTTTTTTGTTTTCTATATTAATTATATTCCTTCAGCCTCTGAGTGAAACTACATTTTTCTATGGTTTAGTCCTGTTTTAATCTCTACCACGCCTCCTCCTTTACTATGTGGGTTGCTTTTCAATAGTCTTAAATCCATGGACCTCAAGAGAAGTAAAAGCGATCCTTTATAGTTTGTGTCTGTAATTCCATTCAACAATTGAGATGCAAACAACTGACTTACCTGAAGTTTAGAAGTACTTTACTTGATCGAAAAACGTTCACAATGCTTCACTCAGTCTCACTGATGAAGCTCAAGCTTTTAAATAACGTACATGTTAGGGTCAGAGCCCTTATAGTGCCTGACTTGCAAATGTGGATCATTAATGGATAACCTGGTTCTGGGTTCTGTTTTTAATCATGACCTTGGAAGGTACCCGACTCTATGAAGTGGTAAGAATAGACTAGACTGGAGAAGGTAAAGAAAAAGTCAAAATCATAACAACTATGAGAGTCTTGACCAGAAACATTGTAGGAACAATTGAAAGGAATCTCTACTCTTTATGAAAGGCTATATTTAATGAGTTTGTCTACTAGTAGCAAAACAACAACAAAACCCCACACATATATATTTCATCTACAGATGGTTAAAATGTGATTTTTCTATGACCCTATAATACTTTATGTAACTATCTGTAATTAAATTAGTGCAAGGTAAAAATAATTGACTTAAAATAATATAAAGTATTGAAAACAATCAATAGGCTAAACAGCATTCTTTTTCATAAAAGAAAGTGTCATATGCAACAAAGTGGCAAAAACAGAATGGAGTGAGCTGTGGTTAAGTGCAAATCCTTATAGCAATGAATATCATTTATATTATCCTTACTTCTTTGAATAAATTCAGATGACAGCCCTATTTCATTTCTTCATTCACTTTGGAGGCCAGATGGCATTAGAATCATTTACTTCACCTTGTTGTGCTTAATTACTACAATCAACACACTATTTTCCAAATTAATCATAACAAAGTAATTTCATTAGTAACACAGCAGGCTGTTGAATTATTAGCATCATAACAGTTTGCAAACAATTAAACTTTATTTGAACCTTAAAAATTTGCAGAGTGGAACATTATTGTAAGATCTAATGGCAATAGAGTACAAATTCAGTACAGAGCAAATAATCAAGCAAAATGCTATATAAAATATGACTTACAATCACCTTTGAAAAAAATTAGCTCTCTAACTGTTCATAGAAAAACAAATAAAAGCTAAGCAAACATAATGAGAACATAACAATTAGCATATTTTCTAACAAGCCATGTTATTTAAATTCACATTAATTATATTATTACGATCTTGAAGAGTGTGTGATATATTGTCAAGGGTGTAAAGAAAACTTTCTCCCTGGTAGTATACAAATGATTTCATGAAATGAATATAAAGTTGCCATGAATTGGAAGTAATGATTATTTTTCCTGTTACTCCAATTTTGTATCTTTCGTTTTCTTCCCTATCTCCCACCTAGATTCAGGTTAGAAAAGAACAAAGGCCAGAGGAGCTGTGGACAGAAGCAACACTTCATTTCTTCACTGTCACTGTTCACGGAGAGAGTAGCTGGCTAGGAATTGTTGGTCATCAGTTGGCAAAGGACTCCCTCTCCTGGATTAACTGTAAAAGGAGGCAGAAATGTTCTAAATGCTTTACATTCTGTATGAGTTTGGGCCCAAGTGGGGGAGGGGCTTCCAAGCAGCTTCCTGTGCAACGAAAAGCTGCTGCCATCTACTGGCCCGGGGCTAAAATCTTCCCTCGGCCCGAAGCCCGAAGCCTGTGTCCACTCCACAGGCAAGGCTGTGTTTTCAGTACAAGCCTGCAGCTGCTTTTGCTTTTCAGCCTCTCGGGCTTTGGAAACCAGTCCATTAGTTTCATCTCTGCTTGCCTTACTTTTCCCAAGATGATTTCAATCTATTCCAATGGCTTTCTATTAGGACAAGATTAATGAGCGCACAAATTAATTCCTGAAAGCTTTAACTCAACAATGTCTAATTCATATAAACTAGATTTACCCCAAATCTCTAAACTTAATATATTTTTTAACATTTGAAATAACATGATCATGGCATTGAGGGATAATGGTAAACACACACTCTGAAACGGTGTTTGTAAATAGTTTCATGTAAGTAATGGAGGTTTTTTAATATTATCAGCTTGTGTGCATGGTCAGAATATCTTCATGAAGCAAAGATCTGAAAAGTTCAACAAAGGTAGTATGTACTAATCAATGATTCAATATAAGGAGATTATATCTACTCCAAATAATTATCCATTCAGCAGTACCTTTTGATATATATTAAGGCCAGACTGGTACCTTGTAGACATTTAAAATACCTTTGATTTCTAATGTACACGAAAAGGTAAAAAGATACAATTCGGCAGCTCTTGCTCAGGGGGCAGAGCGTGTGTGTAACTCCTCGGTCAGGCCGATGCTCCCCTTCAGCGTCCGCTGCTGCGGGGCCGCTGTGGCTCCCACGCTCTCCTCTTGGAGCCGTTTCTTCCCCCCGACTCGGGGTGTGCAGGGGAGACTCACACCTGCAGTTGCACTGTTCTGTGGCGGGACTTCAGCAGCACAGTCCTGATCAGGCAGGGTGAGAGGGTGCTGGGTTACACCTCCTTACTTTTAGAGTGCACTGAGGTTATTTGTGCTGCTATATTCATGGGGAATGGGGTTTCTTAGGGTAGAAAACACCGGCAAGCCCATCGTCTAGCCAGGCTGTCTGCTACTGACACAGGGCTTGCGCACACCACAGTTCCGGTCTGCGTGCGTGTCGCAGGTGACAGCACACTGCCATAGGCAAGCTTATCCTTATTTCTTTCTGGTGGCTATATTTTACATAAAGTAATTTGCCAATTAGTAAAAATTCTTTCATGAAAACATGTTACCATTGTGTGAAAAATAAACACTAAGATAAATCATGTAAACGTTTTAATAAAGCCTTATTCTTTAAATAGCATCTACCAAAAGCTTGTACGACATATTCGGTTTAAATTTCAGTGAAATTATATATTATAGTCTAAAAAATAACTGGTGTCCAATATTGAGAGAAATTGAAACTTATATCGGAAGTAGCAGTGATTATGTAGAACATATAAAACAGTGCTGAATTCTTCACACAAATCAAATGAGTAAAAGCTACAATTATTTCTTTGCAAAATAGCAACAGGTATAACTTTCCAGCTTCTATCTAATTTGCATTAATATCCTTCATTTAGTTTCACATCAGAGGGCTGTTATAATGCACATAAAATAATGAAGATGCACGATGCTCAACAAAACAAAGAAAGGTTATGAGCTGTCGTTCCTGCTTTCACGAAGGTTCTGAATCCAAAGCATGTGCAGAGTAGCAGGAGAATATTCCTTTCCTGCAGGCAGAAAGGGAAAGTTGCATCATAATTTTTTCCTTCAATCAAAATGTTGATTTTTCCTGCTTAGAAAAAAATTGCATTTTTTAGCCAAGGAAAAATGAATGTTTATTCAACCTTTCATCAATTTTGTTCCTCAAAAAGGCCATACAAAGTGATATTTTACTAAAGAGGAGAAGGTTTGGAAAAACAGCTGGCAATTATCAAAGGGGTTTTCCCTTAATAATCTATTCCCAAGTAAATTCTATGAAGTTATTTTTAAATATCAAACAGATTTTTTTTTTAAAAAGATGATGATGATTAGGGAGCATAATCTCTGTGTTACCAGAAAACTACCAAGACTTTTAAAAAGGCTAAGACTCATAAGGCAGAGACCAAGAGAACATATGAGCCATTACAGAATATTGGATTAAAATGTACTTACCCAGGACTCTCAGATATCATACATCTCCATTATGTAGGCTTTCGGCACCAAGCCAATGGCTCCCTTCATTTCTCCTACCCACCAGCCATATCTATTGTATTCCTAATTGAAAACAATATGCAATATTAACCTTTAGACTGGTGGAAGTACAATGTCGTTTGTGTGCAACTTCTTAGAAATGTTATTTCTTTTTATAAAGTTACAAGAGCTTGAGCTGCAAATTGAAACATTTTAATCCTTTTTTTTGTTTCTGGACACTTTAAAAATGCTGTTAGGCAAAGATTTAAATTAATGTATAAGGCAAAGCCTGTTTATTACTGGGTGTAAAACACAGAAACAGTCACTTGTAAGAACCTGGTGCGCGTATGCACTCTCTCTCTCTCTCTCTCTCTCTCTTTCTCTCTCTCTCTCACTCAATCCCCCTGCCCGCCCCTGCTACAAGACACAGGGTTACAGCCAGGATCCTCAGGATACTTACTATCTTTGCCTTCAAGAAGCTTATCATCTAGCAAGGATAGATCTCCCCCCTCACCACAATAAACTACTAACTCCTACTAAAACTCAAGTGACCAAAAATGATTTGGAATGTAGAGGTATGCCCCTTCTTTAAAAAATATAATATATGAGTATAGACATTTCAAACAGATAAATTAGAGAAAATATGGAAACACTAAGACCAAAAAAATTATTTATAAAACCATTCACAAAAGGGCTCCTTTAAAAAAAACCTTTGCTAAGGCCTTTATTGTTCTTTTTCTCGATCACAAACTACAATAGATAAAGGGTGGGTAGAAGGAATTTAAAGGTGGTGGTAGATGCACTTTACAGTAGACACAAAACAGGAAATGAAAATATCTCAAGTTATAAAGATGGCATATTAATCCAGCTGTAAACAAGAGCGACGCATGGGTCACTTGGGCCCTTGCCCCTCAATGTGAGGTAACCCTGCCCTGCCTTGGCCTCTGCTAACAGACTGACAGACGCCCTGCTGCTTCCGGTGTCATGAGCGACCGGTCTCCTGTGTCTGCCAGACTGACTCATGTATTTTTACCTCAAATTTCTTTATGTTTAGTGAGAGACAAAGTAAAATGAATTACGATTTTCAAGAATAGTATCTTTCAAAAGCAACACTCTACAAAAGCATTGGAACACCCAAGTTTAATTTTTCATATAGATACATTTTTTAAATCCATCCCCAAAGTAATGCAACAGACTATAATTCCCCTACACCTGAGTCACAGGTAAGTGTGCATGTGCATGTGGAGTTACGTGGGGGGCGGGGGGGTGTCACGGCGCCGACTCAACATCCGTATTGATCAGCACGCTGTTGACCGTCGGGGGGAAATCATAGAATTCTTCAATACAAATGTAGCAACACTAATGTGGGTATTGATAATGTAGTCTCTCAATGGAGAGATTATTGGGTTAAAATCTCTGTGTGCTTTTTTAAACCCTGACCTATCGGAATTAGGTGTTCGGACAGAACAAGGTGGAAGGAAAAGGGGGAGAAAGGCCAGCCCTGCAGTTCTGATGCTAATAAGGTCACATCTGGCTCCTCAGGCAGCGGACTCAAGATTTTAGGTTTAAAAGTTCTCCGATCATTGGAACTTAGTATACAAAATTGTCTACGAAATGAAAATAGTCTGATGCCCAGAACTCAGTGATGATGACTATAATGTATGTAGGGTGTATTTATCAGAAGAAAATACCAACTTACTGAAAGCTAAGATTAACAACCATTATATCCTAATGGGTACCTAATAAAACTGCCCTTTTCAATTTTTAAGGCAATGAATACAATTAGTGCCTAATGCTTAATAAAACAAATGTATTTAACCTTTTAGAGGCCAAGGGCTTGCATTGTAAAATTTCAAAATGGATGGTTAACAGGGTAAGTGTGTGAGAGCTCTTACCTAATGCCAATCTAAGATTTCCCCAATTATTTGGAAGTAGTAAAGAAACTAAGTCCCCCAAAGGGCAGACACAGAACACATTCAGTGAGAGGGCATATTAGGAACTTGCTTTCAGAGAACAGTCTGCAATCTGGGTTGCAATGTTTACAGTCTAGTTACAAACCAGAAAGTTCATATTACTTTATAATATTCTGCTGTGGTTATAACCTGTGCTCTCAATTAAGGATATATCATGGTTCTCAAAGAAACTGACTCACATCCAAATTTTAAAAACTGATTTCCAACAAATCACTTCAACAAATGATGAATGACAGACTTCACTCGTGCGAGAATTCTGTGTGACGGTAACTGGTAAGACTCATTAAGTAGAAAACACAGTAGTAAACCGCAGGGAGGAGCGTATCCAGCTGTAAACAAATCCCCTAAAAGTAACATTCTAGGGAAAAAAAGTTTTAAACTGAAATCATCTTAAATGCTTCGCTTAATTAATTTAAAATAATTGAAAGCATATGAAATACACACCTCATAAAAGTACTCTAAAATATCACAGGTTTAAATCAGAAAAGGGTACAAATAAAAAACCAGAATGTTTATTACTTTACATTTGTAAAGGATTCCATATAATACTCCTGTGTGGAATTAAGAGGTAAGATAAAATATAGTGAGGTAAAAATCTAGTAGGCAAATTTATGGATTTACACTGCAGCCGTTAGAGTATGTCGGCAAGACTGCAAACACAGAAGCTGTTACTTTTATCATTACCATCCTCTGTATGAGCCTCCTGAGCAACATGAATCCCAATTAAACCATTTGCAGCCTATAAATTGGAATGAAGATGCTTCTTGGAGTACAGTATTCTAAACTTCAGCCTGAAGATTCAGTAGCATACAAGGTTGCCTTTGAAGAAGAAAATCTGCCTTTCTTTGCCTTCCCCCAAACAAATGTGGTTATCAGTGATAGATCACTTACAGTGGAAAATAATACAATCTATACAATGTTGTCTTGCAGTCCACATACTGATTATAGCATTGTTCTAAAAGCCACAGGTGGGTCATCAAAACAACCCCACCACCTTCAAACCTGGTCTTGTTAATAAACAAAAGATGAAGAGACAAAACCATAGCAGGCTGCCACCTAAATCTCTGAAAGGTTAGGAAGCATCATGTCATCTTTACGGCACACGAGAGCTCAGGTACAAGAAGATCTGCCATCTGGTATTCCTCACCCTATTCAGTCTTGACATCAACTGAAATGCTAACATAGGCAAGTGACTGCACTTCAGGAGGACTGATAAAATAATGAAGAGTCCTTTAATCTACAGGAAACCATTCTAGTCAATTTATAAGAAATATTGCGTCCCTTTGTAGGACGTGTAATTATTTTCTATTAATCATGTGCTATAAAGCTACATTATGCGGTTATTCTGTTATCACTAGAAAGAGGCCTGCAGTCAGCTTCTGACAATGTTAGGTAATTACTAACACAAAGCTTCTTTCTCTTCCGGTAGTAATGCTATCAAGATCCAGAGGTGTAGTGAATACTTATTGTATAAAAATAGCACTCAAACAAAATTCAATATCTGCAAAATGGATGGCTTCAAGGCAAAATGTAATGTGGCAGTCAAGGAAGAAAAAAGCCAAACTTGCCCAGGAATCCAAGAAAAGAATCATAAAGCAGCACTGAGCAGTTGTGATCTAACTCCTGTTTCCAATTTTCATACCGTAAAAATTGCCTTTATTAGTTTTATTTTGTAGTTAAACTTTTAGGCTTCAATTAATAGGTGGTAAGCAATAAATTAAAGTGATTGTGTAATAAGGCAGGAAAAAAGGACTAGTTTTGATAAAGTGAAAGAGGGACTTGATCCAACACAACAGGAAGCGTTACGTCCGTGTTTGCTCAACGAAGTCAGTCTCTGTCTGTGCCGGTGTGTTATTTTACACTTAAGTGAGGCCCCAACCTTGACTACTTAAATCCTTTTCAACACCATGACTCTCATTTTTCAAGTATGTTAATCCACTTTCTGCTAACCATATGGTAAGAGATGCTGCCTTCACAGAAACCTGAAACACTAATAGGATTTTCTGATGAGCTACCCCTTTCAGAAATTAGTTGCCAATCTGCTTGAAAGCAGCAGGTGTTAGAAAGGTCCTTTTTTCAAACATGTATCTGTTTTCTAACTATTCATTGTGATATTTTCAGTTTTTCAAATTCATAAACATTGTAGTAATATGAAAATTAGATAATCATTTAAAGTATGGAAATACTTTCTTCAAGGCTACCTCTTCAATCTTCTCCTTTTTAATATCTCCAATTAGAAACTTTGCAACAATCCTTCCATTTCTCGTACACCCCTCATTTCAAAGGATCTCTTAAAAGGCCCAACAGGAACTCGACAATCTCAGCATTTTACTATTTCTATCTGCACATTAACTGCTCCAATCAGCCTCCTAACCTGCTGGGGAAACTGACACCACAACCTCTGAGGTCCTCCCTGATCTTTGAACACCATTCATGAACCTGCTTCAAGAGAGTCTCCTGGCAGCTTATGAAAATCAACCTTATTACTTTACAATTTACTATGCAGGTGTGACCTTTGGGAACCTCGAACACAAAGAATTACTGTTGTTTGCTCCTTGCACTGTGCAAGGACAAGTAAGCAAACTGATAGAATTTAATTCTTATAACAAATTTTAGTTTATATTCCAGAGTCAAGACACACTTAACTCAAATTCTACCCAGTCAACATTTACAATACTATACAGTTAAAACTGATATTCAGATTGATGATCCACAGATACCGCCAGGCAAAGAAAGGTCCAGCAGGCTCAGGAGAAGGCAGGCGTGGTGCTCAGCGCGTTTCCCCAGCCCACACAGAACTCTGGGGCGGCTCTCAGGTTCGCCCACTCCTCTCTCCATCCCGGCGGTCTCCACTCTTGCCCAGGCTTTGTCATCTCACCCGGGATTACTGAATCACCAATTCTGCCTCTCTGTTCTTTCCAGAAACTTCCTTTGTCAACTTACTTTGCTGCTCAAGAACTTAAACTAGCTCCTCGATGCATTAACTACAAACTCCCCAGTGTGGCGTTTCCCCACCCTGCCAGCGATGTTCTTCCCTCACCTCTCCGGTCCCTGGAGTCCAACCTGTCGGGTTACACTCATTCCTACCTGTGTGTGTGGTGTGTCCTCCCT